CCTAGAAAGACCTCCCCTCCCCTCCCTTGAAAAGCCCTCCCCCACCCTTGTAATAACCTTATAATCGCACCACCTTTAAAACGGTCGGTTGTCCCTCCCTAACCCCTGGTTGACGTTTTTACGGAGACAGTTGTGCGAATTTTAGGTTAATGAGGGGGTGGGGGAAGGGTTTCAGGGGAGGGAAGGGATTTTGGTGGGGGGGGGGGAGGGCGGCGAGTGGTGGCTAGAGAAAGGTGAGAAAGTGGAAGAAAGTAGGGGCGGTGTGGTGGTGGGGTGGCCGAAGAAGATGGCTAGTTTCCTTTTGTGTTTTAGGAATATTTATTATTCACTTTCTTTCGATTTGTTTATCCCATATAAACCAAGCGCCCTTTATTATTGATCCACGTGTAACCCTTATTTTCACAGTATCCCCAAAACACCCTTAAACACATCCCTAAATTCCGAAAAATGTCCTCAATATGCCATGCGCCCACGCCTATCATCCCTCAAATCTCACATGTTGTGAAAGCTTACTTGCAGTATACAAGTTGTAGTTATACAATTACGTTCTCCCTAAAAAAAAACATTTTTATAAAAATAAATCGATTCATAAAATCTCAACCTCGAATCTTCCACTTTTGCAATCTCATTCAAGTTCATCGAGATCTACTTCCGGCAAGTTTCTCTTCTCTCTTCTCTTTAGCCCTAATTCCCTCATTCATGTGATCTACTTATTTTTTTTTCCTGTTTTAGATTAATTGATGAATTTGGGTTTTTGATTAGTATTTCCTATTATCCAGATCTGATTTTAATTTCTGGTTAATGTTTAATTTAATTATTTTTGTTATTTGCATCGAATTGCATTAGGATTTTGTTGTTGATTTTATCTTTATCAACGCATGTTTTATAAAGTTTTGTAGATTTCGGTTAGTTTGGTTAATTCAAGATTATTAAAGTGATTTTTTTTCAATTTATGATATCTGTTGTCGAAATTCGAATGTATTTGGAGTGTAAATTTTACTAATTAATTGGAAATTTGGTGGGTTTTTGTTAATGATTTTGTTTGATTACTCTGATGGGATTGTACTCTTGAAATTTGGCTGTTTATTTACTGTGATTTACACTTTTTAGATCTGTTATATTGGCCTGAATATTATATAATGTGTATTGTTAAATTATAGGTAGATTTGATGCTGCAAAACGGTTGGGTTAGTTATATAGCTTAGATCAAGTTAGGTTGAATTGAAGATTGAGCTGTTTTGCTGGTTTTCTATTGCAATGGCTTCTTCGGAGAAGAGGATGCTGCGAATTAACCGGGTTTTCTTGTGCTTGTTCCTATTTGCTTTTGTTTGTGAGGGATTTTACTTGCCTGGGACTTACATGCACACATACTCCAATGATGATGAAATATATGCGAAAGTGAATTCGCTGACCTCCATTGAGACTGAGCTTCCCTTTAGTTATTACAGTCTTCCTTACTGTAAGCCACATGATGGGGTTAAGAAGAGTGCAGAGAATCTCGGAGAGCTTCTCATGGGAGATCAGATTGACAACTCCCCTTACCGATTTCGGATGAATAAGAATGAATCTGTTTTCTTGTGTATTACTAGTCCTCTTAATGAACAGGAGGTAAAACTTTTGAAACAGAGAACTCGCGATCTATATCAGGTTAACATGATTTTGGATAATCTCCCTGCAATGAGGTATGCAAACCAAAATGGTGTAAAGATCCAATGGACTGGGTTTCCAATTGGATATTCTCCAGCAAACAGCAATGATGATTACATTATAAATCATCTGAAGTTTAAGGTTTTGATTCACGAATATGAAGGAAGTACTGTAGAGATTATTGGTACAGGGGAAGAAGGTATGGGAGTGATCTCAGAAGCTGACAAAAAAAAGACATCTGGTTTTGAGATTGTTGGTTTTGAGGTTGTTCCCTGCAGTGTCAAGCATGATCCTGAAGAGATGTCAAAACTTCACATGTATGATAACATTAATTCGATCAATTGCCTGGGGGATCTTGAAAGGTCTCAAATCATAAGAGAGCGAGAGAGAGTTGCTTTTACTTATGAGGTTGAGTTTGTGAAGAGTAGTACTAGATGGCCATCTAGATGGGATGCTTACCTAAAAATGGAAGGTGCACGGGTGCATTGGTTCTCCATTTTGAATTCCCTCATGGTGATCTTTTTCTTGGCTGGAATTGTGTTTGTTATATTTTTGAGGACTGTAAGAAGAGATTTGACCAGGTATGAGGAACTGGATAAAGAAGCTCAAGCACAGATGAATGAGGAGCTGTCAGGATGGAAGCTTGTTGTGGGTGATGTATTTAGAGAACCTGAGCATGCTAAACTATTGTGTGTGATGGTTGGAGATGGTGTTCAGATTACAGGAATGGCCGCTGTGACTATTGTCTTTGCCGCTCTTGGTTTTATGTCACCTGCATCAAGGGGAATGCTGTTAACAGGAATGATAATACTATACCTATTGCTGGGGGCTCTTGCAGGATACGCTGGTGTATACCTATGGAAAACCATCAAGGGAACACCCGATGGTTGGAGGTCTGTTGCCTGGTGGAATGCTTGCTTTTTCCCTGGGATCGTCTTTGTCATCCTCACTATGTTGAATTTCCTCCTTTGGGGTAGCAAGAGTACTGGTGCTATACCAATATCTTTATACTTTATCCTTCTCTCCCTTTGGTTCTGCATTTCAGTTCCCCTCACTCTGTTTGGAGGTTATCTTGGAACCCGAGCCGAGCCTATTCAGTTTCCTGTGCGCACCAATCAAATCCCCAGAGAAATTCCTGCTCGAAAATACCCTTCATGGTTGCTTGTTCTTGGTGCTGGTACCCTTCCATTTGGAACCCTGTTTATCGAGCTTTTCTTCATTTTGTCCAGCATTTGGCTGGGAAGGTTCTACTATGTCTTTGGTTTCTTGTTTGTTGTCCTCTTGTTGCTGGTGATTGTTTGTGCTGAAGTTTCTGTGGTCCTAACTTACATGCATCTATGTGTTGAAGATTGGCGTTGGTGGTGGAAAGCATTCTTTGCTTCGGGTTCTGTTGCTCTATATGTCTTCCTTTACTCCATTAATTACTTGGTTTTTGATCTCCAGAGTCTCAGTGGACCTGTGTCAGCTCTACTTTATCTGGGCTATTCCTTAATTATGGCAGTTGCGATTATGTTGTCTACCGGCACCATCGGATTCCTTATGTCATTCTACTTTGTTCACTATCTGTTCTCATCAGTAAAGATTGATTAAGGTTACATACGATGATTGCTACGCGATATGGCATTATCTACAGAACAAAAGAGGAGATTTTGTTGCCTATTTCTCCCATATTTGTCAAATGTCCTCCTCGGGATGGACGAAAGGTTACTAGATATAGAGGATAAGAGCATTTAGCTGCATCTGAAGACCTGATGAAGCAAGGTCTTTTTTTTTTCCTCTCTAGCATGTATTCTCCTTTTATTTTTCTTTGTTTTTCCCTCTATTGTTTAGTTTTGAGTTGTATTCTCTTAGATGTCCTCGTTTATATACCGGTTTCCACCGGCAGAATTGTACTCCATTGGATGTATTTTCATCAATTAGATTTTAGACCAAATGTTTGTTTCATTCACATTCTTTCTACATGCAGTATCATTTTATTTGAGTTTTAAGTTTAACTGAGCAGTTCTCATTTCTCATTGTATTGATCCGAGTCATCCGACGTCATAAACTGCAACTTATTGATCATCATAATGCTTGGGAAAGCGGCAAGTTTGATCATAATTTAACACCTTAAGTGCTGTCTGCAATGCGTAGAGACTAGAGAGGCTCTAAAACATAGAGAACAACCTTCTAAATTTGGACAATGACAGTACGACACAGTAATGAGCACTTGAACAAGTAATGACTGCAAGAATGTGAACGAGAAAAAGGGGGGTCATGATATGATTCTAAGTAACTTTTTGTTCAAGGACACTGGAACAGATACCTTACCAATGCTTGATCAAAAGCATCACTGGGATTTGCATTTCTAGGCTACAATCTAATCAAATCATCACAGTTTGCAAAATATCGAACATCAAGTAGCCTTTGAGGATGAGCTATGTATATGGTTATTGTAAACACAAATTTTAAATATGCAAAATATAGATTCAAAATAAATGAAATGAAATGAAATAAAATTACAATTTATTAATTTGATGATTTCTGGGTACAATCTTTATTTCGATCTCCATTGGACTTTGACTTGCTTCACAAACTGACTTGAAGATGTTTCAAAGTTCTTTTCTCTCTTATTGAGGGCCGTCGAGGTTTGATCTTGTCCAAGGATGATTTTTTAGAGTAGAACGACACGATAAAAGCTTGAAAGTTTTTCTTTGAAAGGTTTTCTTTTTAGAGGTTTAGGGTTTTCTAATTCTCCTCGAAGACACCATTAGGTTTAAGGTTCGATGTACATTAGAGTTGGGCTTTCAATATTGAACTTGATTGTTATAACCCATATATAATGAAAATAATTTCATTAAAATAATTAAAATTCAATAAATTTAATTTATTACACTGAAATTAATCAATTTAAATGGCCTCAAAAAAAAAATAATCAATTTAAGTTAACAGTCAAATAAAATTGAGTCAATGAGTTAACCTTTGACTCGTATAATGTAATATTATATCTAATGTGGCACTTATATAAAATTTTACGTGCCTACATAAAAAGCGTTTTATGTCTTTTGGTCTGCTAATAATGTAACTCAATCTTGTTATTCAACCAGGCAGTGTCGTTTCAGCCCAATACATTACATATATTACATACCTTGCTGAAAATCTGATCCTTGAATGACAGTCACACAATTTCTGGCAAATTCCATTTCCAAAAATGAGAACAAGAGAGAACAGACAAATCCCAATTATGATCCTTGCGAGGCCCTTTGCTCGACAGTTATTTAAACGTTCAGTTCCTATAGCTTGTTGAGGCCATGTTGATGCCGTTCACAAGTCATCAATTGGCAATTTTAGCTTTGATTCCAAGTACAGCAAGATTTCAACTAGTTTGCTTTTATTTCTTTGTTAACATTGTATTCAAACAAAAACAAAAGGTTGAAAACCAAGCTTGAACTTTTAGGTTATGAACCAGAATTTCAAACTGTTCAAAACTTTTATCACTACGTTCTTCTATAAGAACAAACATTCCCCTGTTAAAACTATAAATTAAAAGATGCAGTTGGGCAGGTCTATTACATATGGAGTTAACTAAACTCGAACACCATTGACAATGAGTAATGTGCCAATGCGGGCATCTTCTAATTAGGCACCGATTTACACCATAAAACAAAAGGGTGCATAATTTTGAGATTACATGGGGCATTTGCTTTACATGGTTTTCTTGCCATCAGAGTTTGCAAGGCCTTGACCAATTTCCTGCAACTGGCTACGAAGGCTCTGGTTGTCCTCAAGCAACCGATCATATTCAAGAAGTAGGCCTTCAGATTGCTTTTTCAAAGCCTCTGATTTAGATTCAGCAGATTTAACCTCATCTGTTTTGGCAGCACACTCAGATTCCAAGGTCTTGATCCTAGACTTCAGGGAAGCAACCTCCTCCTCCATGGCTTTTAGATCCTCCGAACTACCATTCTTGGCATCATCAAAACTCCGGCTTTGTTTCTTTACCGCCTCCATTGTCTTTCTGAGTAAGCGGAGTTCTCTGATGTAATGATGCAACCTGTCCATCATCAGTCCAAGGAACAAGATGAATCCTGCACATTATCAATTAATTCAAATCTGTCAGTAGCCCATGATATTTGGCTTCTCTATACACATGCTCAATTTTACATTTGGGTATGGTGGTAGATATTTCCTTAATTTTATTAAATATACCGAGTAGGAAGACGTGGAAAAATAAGAATTAAAAAAGAAAAGAAACATAAAACATACAGTACTAATCTAACTTTTTCATTGGCTATGGTATCGAAGCATATACTCTATCTCTGCCTGATGCCTTCAGTTAAACAGGTCACTGGATAATTACTTTTAGAGTTTAAGGCATCATAGTTTTTCTCCCCATTTCCTACGGTGCCTTTTCACCCTTTTCCCCATTATTGAATGTCTGGCAAATTCAGTGCTGATGAGTAGTTCAGTAAAGTATGCAAATATCCACCAAAAGGGTTGGGATAAATCTTCAAACAAATAAAACCTAAGAAACGCCTAGAAGCCAGGATAATGACATAAATTAACCTTCCAATAGGCTAAGAACAACTAAACCTAGCACATGGAGGTTTCCGCATCACAAGATACCAATAAGAGTAAAATAATTCAAGGGTGAGAGTCCTAGCCTAGATGACACACCGAAAAAATATTGGATTGCATCATCATATAATTGTCTGTCAGCAAACAAGCTGAAGCAAAGATTTGTAGCTTAAATTATCAGCAAACAAGCTGAAGCAAAGATTTGTTAATTCGTATACAAGAAGAAAGGCAAATAATGGGATGGAAGTATACAAAAAAATATTTCTATATGATTCTAAGATAAGTTAAACCATATTTTGAGAATACTAAAAAAAGCGAACGAGGGACAAGCTTAAGGCTGAAATAATTTGGTTGACGGATTTGAGAATGTGACCAAATACATCCAATATTCCAAGTACGCAAGGGGAAAGTAATGTTCTTTAAATTAAAAAGGCAATAGACAAACTGAAAAACTTCATTGTTGCCAAAGGATGTAACAATATTGATTATTATGATGAGAAAAAGATTGAGTAGAAACAGCCTAAAGCCTTAAACTAACCTTGGACGGCTTATAGTAAGCAATTGTTCGTATCATGATAGTAGTTTCTTACAAGTAATTTAATAAATAAAAAAAACCCAACAACAACAACAACTACAGCAACAAAAAAAAGGGGTTCTCTTGACATATTTTTCCCTTCTAATCCCAAATATGTAATCAAAGATAGAGTAAATGGGAAAGGAGGAAAGCAACACTCAACAACCTATAATATGAGTTAAAAAAATCAAGGGACAATTTGCAAGGAAATAACGTGGTGGTTTATAATAAGGGAGAAACATTTAAATTGCTAATATTGAACTTTTTAGTGATTAATAACGACAAAATCAGGAAATATAGTCTAATTAACAAAAGAATTAGCATGCATACAATAGAAATACTTTTCCTTAGAAGGCAGTGATACACACACAAAGCAATGGTAAAAGTGGGCTGTGGATACAAATAAAAAGTGGGTTGTGGATGCAAATTAGTAGCCCTAAAGAACATTATGAGGCTTTCTTATAAACTCTACAAAAAATTGAAGTATAAAGTTTTCATAGATGTTTTTGAATTTGAGAAAGAAGTAGAAATGTAGTTTAATATACTTGTGACATGATGGAGAAACTTACATAGGAAAAAGATGTTCAGGAAGTAATGGATTATAGATCTTCTTATATTAAAATGAGTATGATACTAGTCCTAGTTTTCCCAAGTTACAGCTAACTACTTCCCAATTTACTTGCCCATTTTTCTATTTAGGACAACCCAATTTAATTGCCCCATTACCTTCATACAAATCTTTTCTCTTCACTTTCTCTGTTAAGTTGGGACTACATTCACCCACTCATTTTTTTTCCCCTGTCAAACTATTCTTTTTCAACTTGCATAAAAGTGTGTGCAACTAGCTATGAAGAGAGTAAACTGGGAGAAGTAATAAAATTTAAAATCAACTCCCTCTATTTTAAAATTAATCACAACAGTAGGATGCACACATAGTTTAACAGTGAAAAGAAGGGACCAAAATGGGAATTTTTCATAATATAAAATTATAAAGTATTGTTAGTGGGGGTACATTTTATCGTTAGTGCGAGGGAAAAGTAAGATATCATAGACACTAAGGGTGAACAAAAGATAGAAATATTTTTTTAAAAAAAATAAAATATAAAAAAATAGTGCATATGGCTGATGGGGGTCTTGTCCCACAGAATAGTGTAGCAATAAACCGAAAATGAATGTAAAAGGAGAAGTGAAGAAATTAACTTGACAAAGAGAACTTAATTTTGATCTTATGAAATAGTCAAGGTAAGTGGCGAAAGCCAAAAGCCCACATCTATAGCAAGTTGCTTTGATCATATGTTGATGAATATAAGAGGGAAAATTTTAGGGGTTAAGAAAGCTTTGGAGAAGCGAATGTCCATGAATGCCTTTTCATATAGTCATATTGGTCTTATAAACGAGATGAAGAGAAGGATAAAAAATCAAAGGACTTCACATAGGCCGACAATTACTAGGTTTACAAAATGCTCAATTCTCGATCATATACTCCATACAACAGCAATAGATCAATTTGAGAGAAATTTGCAGAATACTTCTTTAACCCAAAAAGATTGTAGGATTGCAGTTTGAAGTTGAGAGGTCCTCTAATAAAAAGTTTAAGATTAGTTGATAAAGCGAAGAAGCCGAACAAGGAATTCAATTACGGAGCCATGGACAATACTAGGGCTGTCAAAAGCTGACACGACACGATAACCTGACACGAACCTGACACGAAATAAGGGTGTTTGGGTCAAGGATTCTCGACCCGTTTACATAATTGGGTCGACCTGAAGACGACACGAAATTAAACGGGTTAGGTTTGGGTTGAAACCCGAAACCGACACGCATAACCCGATTATATGAATGGGTTGAACGACAACCCGTCAACCTGAACCCAACACGCTTAATTTATTAATTAGTTAATTAAAAAAACTGAAATTTTTTATTCAAAACTTGTAATTTTGTAAATTACCTTGACACCATTTATACATTTTGGTAATTTTTTGGCGGTTAGTTTGGCGAAAAAAATATATATTTCTCTTTGGTAAATTTATACTTAATATGGCCGTTAATTTGAGACAATTCTTATGTATGGTTGTATTGTTAAAACTACTAGCTTTAAACTCTTGGTATCTTTTGCTAAAACTACTAACATTAAACTGTTGTAGTATATTTAATGAATAAATGATGTCTGTTGTTTTTATTTTTGAATTGAATATTAATTAGTTTTACATACTGTGTGGGTAAAAGGTTACCCAGGTAACCCGTTTAATAAGCGAGTTAGGTTTGGGTCAAGGGTTTTCAACCCGTTTAATAAACGGGTTAGGTTTGGGTCAAGGGTTCAACCCGTTTAACATCGACATGAACCTGACACGACACGACCCGTTTGACAGCCCTAGACAATACTTCATAACAAAATGGCAATTGATAATAGATTTGCTATTAAATAGTACCACAAAAAAGCATCGACCCTACCTCTCTACGAGGCTTTTTTAGACAAATATATGGATCCATGTAATCTAATATTATATTCCATAATACAAGGAGGTGTTAATAAGAGTTCAAATCTTGAATATGGACATAGAGAATAATCAATTTAAAGAACAATCTACTTATCAAAGCAAGAAATATGCACAGAGATGACAAATCAATATGTTACCAAATGCAAAATGATTGTCTTAAAAATTCTATGTCTCACTATTCAGATACAAACACGATAGATTGTTATATCTTGTAAATACAAACTCGATAGATTGGGATATCTTGACTTTCAATTAATATGCTATAAATTATTTTCCCCTAATCATAAGAAATAAATTTGTTTTAAAAGTTAAAATTGCTAATTTAGAGTCTTATTTACGTTATTCGTTATTTCCTCTCCATACACATTAAACTTTAAACACTATTGAATATTAATCAATAAATTTATGTTTGGATAGCATGATTTGGAAGGAAGGGTCTTAAGAATACAGAAAATCGATGCTGGGAAAACTTGAAATATTACACTACCCTTACTAACTTAATATCCCACTCAACTTTGGTCAAGTATGCAAGTAATGCAACCATGACAGATTTTTTCATGTTTTTTGAATATTCAGTTCCTTCAACCCCTCGACTTTTTTTCCCCAAAGATCACTCATTATTGCGAAGCTTATTTAGAAATCTTCACAAGGAGAGTTAGTTATTATATAAAATAGTGGATAACTAGATATTTGGCATGAACTAATGGCTTAAGTTTAATAAGACTCTAAATTAGCAATTTTAACTTTGAGCTATTAAAAGGAATCTAATAATAGGAATCTACATACCAAAGCGAGAACATATAACTCATCAAATAGAAAAGCCAAATATCCCCATCTAATCTAAATGTAATTACTAAATTAATTGAGCTATTAAACTAACAGAACAAATTCAATATATTTATTTAGGTGAACGAATCAATCTAATAATCCTAAACATTAACATCATCATATAGTTCCTTCAATTATCTCTGATCATTCAAGTACCGAAAATAAAAAATCCAACAACTTAATTACATACCAAAATACAGAACAAATAACCTAATTCATCATTTCACGAACAAACAAAATACGAAAAAATTGAAGAAGATCGTACCCATGAGAGAAGTATCGAGAAGACTGCGAGTAAACAAAACCTGATCAGTAGGATTGATGGTACCAGGCTCAATTTCACGCTGTTGAAAAGTGAGGATGCTTGAAATGCTGGTAACGAGCAAAACGAGAATGGTGCCGCCAACAGTGGTGATGACAACAGGTCCTCTTCCTCGCTTCATTCGATCTAAACCCATAATTACGAGCTTTCGCAATGGAGTTCTGAACAAAAGTAGCAGAATTACTGCCATTTCTACGAAGATTATGGAGAAAAGTAGATGAAGCATGGTTGATCAATCGGAAGAATGAAGAACCCTAATTTTTGAGAGGAGAGAGAAAGTGAAAAGAGGGGTTTTAGAGAGTGGAGCGACGGTTGAGAGTTTGGTGTCGTCGGCTATTAATTCTTGTGGTAATCAATTTCAACTTCAATCAACTACTTTGAAAAGTTTGACGAGAATCTTGTTGAGAGAAATTTGAGAATGGTGATTTCATACGTTTAAATTTAAACTCACGACTTTGGAATTTTCGGAAACGGTGGGCTTATACCAGATTACCAGGTGGAATCATCAAAGATAATATTTCACCTTTCGAAAAATAGAGGTTTGTTTGGCATCAATGTCTGTTTTCAGTTTTTTAAAAGGTGTTTCTACTAATTTGTTGTAGTTTTTAAAATTATCATGATTTTAATAAGTTTAAATTATTTTTGATTCATTATGGGGCATATATCATATAGTTTTAAAAAACAAAAAAAACCAAAAAACAAAAAAACCATAGCAATGCCAAACAAACCCTAGGTCCGTCTCGTGCGATGCACGATTTAATATTTGTTTTCCTTATTTATTTGTAAGTAATACATATTTAAGAAAAACACTAATGAATCGTGTGCCTTCTAAATATGGAAGAGAAAATATAGAGAGATGAGGGAAGATTGTTACGTTATATTTTATATTCCATCTAGTACGAGATATATATACATGTACATTACCTAGGAATCCATCAACTGATAAGACCAAATACCCAACTCTAGAGTATTCTAGATAGTACAAGGGATAATAGTCATCCATATTTAGATATTATCATAACACTCCCCCTTGGATGACTATATATTGAATAAAGCAATAACTAACATTTACTATAAAACCCGTACAAAATAATACACTATAATGCGCATAAGATGCTGCCTCGTTAAAAACCTTACCAAGAAAACCCAGTGGGAAAAACTATGGTTAAGGAAAAAAGAGTGCAGCGTGCATTAACTCCCCCTCATGACTACATTACTTGAGATCTTTAAGACGACGCAATCCAATGTCGTAACCTAACTTTTTGAATGTTGCTGTCGGAAGAGCCTTAGTAAATAAGTCTGCTAAATTCTCACTTGAACGAATCTACAATACATTTATATCTCCATTCTTTTGAAGATTATGAGTGAAGAAAAATTTGGGTAAGATGTGCTTTGTTCTGTCGCCTTTGATGTATCCTTCCTTAAGTTGAGCAATACAAGCTGCGTTATCCTCATATAAAGTTGTTGGTGCCTCTTTCCCAGATGATAAACCACAAACTTATTTTATATATTGAACTACCGACCTTAACCATACACATTCACGACTAGCCTCGTGAATTGCTAAAATCTCAGAATGATTGGAAGAAGTAGCTGCAATGGTTTGTTTCATGGAACGCCAAGAAATGGCAGTACCACCATATGTGAACACATATCCAATTTGTGACCGACCATTATGAGGATCAGATAAATAACCTACATCTGCAAAACCAATCAAATTTCTTTGGACAACTTTGGGAAAAATAAACCCATATCCTTCGTACCTTGAAGGTAATGAAGTAAATGTTTAATCGCATTCCAATGCCTTCGGGTTGGACATGAACTAAACCTTGCTAATAAATTAACTAAAAATGATATGTCGGGTCGTGTATGACTTGCAAGGTACATTAGTGCTCCAATTGCACTAAGATACGGTACTTCAGGACCAATAATTTCTTCATCATTTTCTCGAGGTCGAAATGGATATTTCTCTACTTCAAGTGATCTTACAACCATAGGGCTGCTCAATGGATGTGCTGTATCCATAGAAAATCTTTTAAGAACCTTTTCTATGTATGTTGATTGATGCACAAGGATTCCATTCTCTAGGTGCTCTATTTGTAATCCCAAGGAGAATTTTGTCTTTCCTAGATCTTTCATTTCGAACTCTTTCTGTAAATAATTGACAGTCACTGAAATCTCTTCAGGAGTTCCAATGATTTTCAAATCATCAACATACACTGCAATTATAACAAATCCCGATCCAAATTTCTTTATAAAAATACATGGGCTGATAGGATCATTGTTATAACCTTCTTTCAACAAATACTCACTTAGACGGTTACACCACATACGCCCAGATTGTTTCAATCCATAAAGAGATTTGTTCAATTTAATACAGAAATGTTCTCAAGAACTAGATTTTGCTGCTTCTGGCAACTTGAATCCTTTTGGGAGCTTCATGTAAATGTCATTATCCAGTGGGCCATATAAATAAGCTGTGACTACATCTATCACGTAAGTCAAGTCCTTCTCTTATTGCCAGACTAATCAAAAATCTAAAAGTAGTTGCATCCACCACAGGAGAGTATGTCTCCTCATAATCAATATCAGGTCTTTGTGAGAATCCTTGTGCAACTAAGCGTGTCTTATATCTTACAACTTCACCCTTTTCATTTCTCTTTCGCACAAAGACCCATTTAAATCCCACTGGCTTTACACCTTCAGGTGTACAGACTACAGGTCCGAATACTTCTTTTTTTCCAAGAAATTTTAATTCTGCTTCAATTGCTTCTTTCCATTTTGGCCAATAATTTCTTTGTCTACATTCTTCAATGGATTTTGGTTCATGATCCTCATTATTATCCATAACATCTAATAATACATTGCATGCAAAAACATCATCGGCGTCGATTTGATTTCGGTTCCATGTAATTCGAGACATGATATAATTTATTAAAATTTCTTCATTATCATGTACCTGAATTTCTTCTTGTATCATGTCTAAAGTCTCTTATGGAGATCCTTCGGAAATTATTTCTTAAATTTGACCATCATCAATCAATGCTCCTTTTCTTTTCCGAGGATTCTTATCTTTGGAACCTATTGGTCTTCAATGTTTCTGACGTGGTTTAGACTCATAAGCAAATTTATTTTGTCCTTCCGGAACATCTATTTTAAATGGAGCATTTACAGCTGGAATATGTGACTTGGTCACTCTTTTTGGGTCAGCAAACGAGTCTGGCAATTGATTTGCTAAACTTTGTAAATGAATTATCTTTTGAACTTCCATTTCACATTGTTTAGTTTGAGGATCAAGATGGGATAATGATAATTCATTCCATTTAATTTCCTTTTCCAACTCTCTTTTTTCTCCCCCTAATGTTGGGAAAAGTGACTCGTTCAAATGACAATCTGCAAAACGAGCCGTAAATAAATCCCCTGTTGTAGGCTAAAGATATTTAATTATTGACGGGGATTCAAACCAAATATATATCCCCAACCTCCTTTGAGGACCCATCTTAGAGCGGTGTGGTGGAGCTATTGGAACATAAACCGCACATCCAAAAATTCTTAGATGGAAAATATTTGGTTCCTGACCATAAACCAATTGTAATGGGGAGAACTTGTGATAACTTGTTGGCCTAATGCGAATTAGTGCTGCTGCATGTAATATAGCATGTCCCCAAGCAGAAATTGGGAGATTGGATTTCATAAGCAATGGTCTAGCAATTAAGTGAATACGTTTAATTAATGACTCTGCAAGACCGTTTTGTGTATGAACATGAGCTACAGGATGTTCAACATCTATCTCAATGGACATGCAATAATCATTGAAAGCTTGAGATGTAAATTCACTAGCATTAACAAGTCGAATAATCTTAATGGGAGTATCTGGAAAATGTGCCCGTAACTTAATCAATTGGGCAAGTAATCTCGCAAACGCCAGGTTACGAGTTGATAACAAAGACACATGTGACCATCTAGTTGATGCATCAATTAAAACCATAAAATATCTAAATGGTCCACATGGGGGATGTATGGGCCCACAAATATCTCCTTGCATACGTTCCAAAAAACTAATTGATTCAAAATTAATTTTAGTTGGTGATGGGCGAATAATCAACTTGCCTTCTGAGCAAGCAGCACATGAAAAATTATTATGAATAATCTGTTGGCTCTTCAAAGAATGTCCACATGAATTTGTAATTATTTTTCGCATCATTATTGAACCGGGATGGCCTAACCGGTCATGCCAAACAACAAAATTATTAGTAAACTTCTGGTTTACTATAGCATAACTTCAATAACATTGATTTTTGTGTAGTACAAACCACGGGAGAATGTAGGTAGTTTCTCCAAAACATGTTTTGAGCCTTGAGTTATATTTGTGATTTGAAGGAATTCGTTATTTTCTTCATTGATTGTCTCAATATGATAACCATTGTTGCGAATATCCTTAAAACTTAATAAATTTCTTTGAGACAATGGGGAGTATAAAGCATCATTTATTTTAATTTCAGTTCCCCAAGGCAATTTTATAGTGGCTCTTCCGAAGCCCTCAATGATATTTGTACTACCCGATATGGTACTCACATTAGTCCTTTTCATCATCAAATGAGAGAAATATTTTTTATTTGTAAGTATTGTATGAGTAGTTGCACTGTTAGCAAGACATAATTTTTCACCATTCATAGCAAATTGAACTTGAGTAATATCCATGTTCTCAACGGGAGGAAACAAAAAACTAATGTGTACGAAGTTCTATATATATTATTTGATTAATATTTTCTCCGATTTCCGATAATTAAAGCAATGGTGCTGATAACGTGTTAAATATGGAAGAGAAAATATAGAGAGATGAGGGAAGATTGTTACGTTATATTTTATATTCCATCTAGTACGGGATATATATACATGTACATTACCTAGGGTTCCATAAACGGATAAGACCAAATACATAACTCTAGAGTATTCTAGATAGTACATGGGATAATAGTCATCCATATTTAAATATTATCATAACAACGCCTTCTTATTAGATGAAATTGAGCTGTAACGAAAGATATGATGTTAAATATAGAGTATTATAATCACATATTATACTATATGCTTCGTAATTTAAATAAAATTTAAAACTTATTCATAAGATGTTAGCATTAATTTGTTGGTTTGTCTTTCAATTCATTAAATTTTTTTTAAGAACTAATAAGGAATGGAAACACAAAAAACAACACTAATGTTAAAAGTAGGAGGAGATAAAATGTTTCTAGAAAAATGAAATATTCCAGCCACTAACTTTTAATTTTAATCTATGAAATTTTTTTGTAGTTAGTCAATTTTAACATAAAACTAGGTTAGATCCCGTGCCATGCACGGTGATTGTTATAGATTATTAATAGATAAATATTATAATCATAAATTAGTCGAGGAACAATATATAAAAGTATGTGATATGTTAAATTTTAATTGTAGCTTCTAATACACAATTACAAATAAAGTAGGCAAAAAATC